CCTCTCTGTTTTACATTTGCTTTCCTTTCACCGTTGGCCACAAAACTGACACTCATGCCACATTGATAACGTTTCATTTCTTTTTTAACCCTCGTCGCACAAGACACCCCAGATAATCGAGTTAGAAGGCACAGACAAGAGCTAAGACAGGAAAAGGTTTGTTAATTTCAAAGATATTGCAAAATAATTGCTTGTTTGTTTTCACCACCGAATTGACAGTTGTGTAAGCCACAAAACTAGAATTTAAACTGATGCAGCTGAGATAAATCTGTCGAAAGTTCTCTCTTTAAGTTGCATACCACCAAAATTTAATTCCAAATGGAGCTTGTTGCACTTTTATGCTCTGGTGACACTCCATCCGATGTACGTTAAAATGCGGTTTATGGTTCATATGCACTCTCGCCGTGTTCTCCACGAGTCGAATCAACTTCTTAACTGCCGACCCCATGACTGCTCCCCCTTTCTCTCTCTCTCTCTTTCTCTCTTTCTCTCTTTCACTCCCTTGCCTTTTGTATGAATGTGTGACTGCAAGTGTTAGAACGTGTCATTTTATACGCGTAGATGCCATAATATAAGCTCTATACTTGCTCCCTAGTGCCGCTTTTATGCACTTCAGCCCGAAGTTGGCATTTTTTTATGCAAATTCTGCGGCGCTCTATAATCATTTATTTTGCATAGACATTCATATATATATGTATATGATATGCTCGCATTACCATTTTTATACAATCGCAATATTCACCTGAAATCTTTTTCACATTCATTTAACATAAAGGCAAATTTCATTTGCTAAACCATATTCAAGGTGAAGCTCATTTAAAAAATGTAATTTGATTTTCTTTTTTCAATTTAAAAAAGTTCAATTCAATTATTCTTTTTGTTAGAAATGGCCAACTCTATTTTTAAGCTCCGTTTGAGTTAAGTATCTTAATAAAAATTCCGGTTTTTAAGTAAAATTTCATGAACAATATTAAGATGAAACAAACATAAATATGAAAAATAAAATAATTTTGTATAGATCATAAAAAATTATAGTAAATTAAAGGGTTTTATTTTTGTTTTCGCTTTGGCGCAAAGTTTCACTTTGACAACGCGCAGCACATTAAAATATAAATTTGGCAAATGCAAATTTTTATGTGCACTAAAAGTTTTTCTCATTCTTCATTTTTACTCAGTGAGTCGTTATCCATTTTTATACCCTGAACCCATTAAAAATGGGTATAAGGGTATATTGTATTTGTGCAAAATCCAAATCAGGCAGAAGGAAGCTTCTCCGACCCCGTAAAGTATATATATTCTTGATCAGCATCAATAGCCGAGTCGATCTAGCCATGTCCGTCTGTCTGTCCGTTCGTCCGTCCGTCCGTATGTATGAACGCAAGGATCTCAGAACCTATAAGAGCTAGAGACTTGAAATTTTAGATTTAGGTGCTCCCAGTTCCCGTGCAGATCGATTTTGTTTCCGATAATCGAAAACTTACTCCGATTCCAAGCAATCGATAAAAATCGATATCGATATCCTGTTTTTTTGGCAATTTTGGTAAATAATAAGAGGTAGAGTCACCAAACATGACATATAGCTTCTAAAATAGAATATATATATATATATATATTTGATGTTGGAAGAAGACGGTTCAGGGTATCCCCTAGTCGGGAGCTCCCGACTAGAACCTCTTTCTTGTTTTTTTTTTTTACTTTTTGTGCTTTTTTTTATCGCCCATTAACGCGCCCACTCTTTGACACATTCGAAATGGCGTGATGGCGAAAAGGCGAAATTCTGCGCCAAAATGAATGTCAATTGTCTGTTCGTGAAAACTTTCGCGAATGTCAAGTTAAAATTTGTACACTTAACTTTAAAGCGTCATCATCCACATAAGGATATAAGTTGAGGCGGCAAGGAAATTGCTTTTAATTTTCTGTGTGAGTGTGTGTGTGTGTGGGTGTGTGTGCATGCCAGCTCTTCCTTTTTGGACAATTTTGTTTGTGTCATCTGCAAACATAAATTATGCGCCAATTTGCTATTGGATCATAAAGATATTTATGTTTGCATTTTATTTGCACACTAAAATAGAATTTATTGTTTATGCGCTTAAGGTTTTAATAAACAAGTGAAGAGCTATTATTATGATGAAGTGCTTTTACTTCGCCCTCGCACAGCTGGTGCGCCAAGAGAACTAAATATCTTGTGAGCCAACTGTCAACGCATAGTTGGTTAACGGGTTTTTATGTTTTGATTGGATATCATCTTGGATTACTACAATAACAGATTGGACTTTAAATATCTGATGTGAGTCGGTTTTAATGTAAAGTTATCTCGAATTAAAATATTTAAGCTGCAGGCTTTTCACGATTGTAGGTGGGACGAGTCGTATCAAGTTGCCTTTCCTTTGCCATGCTCTGCTCCATTTCTTATGCCACAATGCGTATACGTACTTATAATATTTAAAACACTTCTCACGCCACAGTTCGTCGCGCATTTTACTTAAAAGCCGGGAATAATGGCAATTTTCGTTTGCAAAATGTGCAACTGAATGCTGGAACTGAGACTTGTGCGGGTTATGCGCCCATAGTTATGGTTGCTTATAAATTTCAAATGCAAATGCTAAACCAGCCAGTTCCAACTTCCAAGTTGCCAGTTGCCAGTTGCCGGTTCGCCGGGTTGCCGGGCCAGCCACTGAGCCATTTGTCAGTGTTATATGCTGCACACGTTGCGTTTATGCACATGGCAATCTCTGTGGCTCTGGCTCTGAGTTCTCCTTGAGTTATTCCTCATCCTGCTGCGACAATCGCGGCTGCATTACGCTAATAACCTGAGCCCCGTGAGTTATGTGCGGTGGGCGGGAAATTTCGTAAATTTCTATATGGTTCGCTTGATAAAGCCCAGCTTAAGGCCAATTTGTGTGATGTAACACAAAGTTGCGTTGAACTACTAATTAACTCAATAAAATCTACCGGCATTTCGGACACAAATTCTTCCTGATTGACATACTTGCCATTAACCCCAAATGGCACTGTGCAACATGGTTTTAAAGCCTTAAGTTTGCCGATGCAATGGCAATATCCAAAAATAAAATGAATATCAATAATTAATAAATCATAAATAAATTAATAAATCGATCTATCGGAAAACTTAAATATACATTATATTGAAAATTATTTGTATTTTATAGCCATCTCATTTTTGTTGTTTTGTGTAATATAAGACCGTAGGTTATGTAAACTTTTTGACCAACGTGTGAACTCAGGTAACTGGCAGCAGCCCTTGACGGCGTTTGAGTGCAACTTTTGTGCGTACTTCCGATGAGTGCGTTTCACATATAACCTGAGCCAAAGCCTGACCCCCATGTACCTCGTTCCTGGAACGATGCACAAGCTGAAGTTGTCCAAGCAATGCTCGCAGTGGGCCAATCCTCAGCGAGGGGCTGCATCTGGTTGCACTTGTGTGTGCGTGTGAGAGCCAACTTCCGTGGCGCGTGTCCTGGCGAACACTTCCGGCTGTCTGGCCCCTTTGACTTGTCATTGTCATGAGCCAGCAGCATATTGCATAGCATTGAGGGTACTACGTATGTCCTTGGCATATTTGCATTTGACAGTTTACTTGCATATCAATGGCCATTTTAGTGGGGCCAATCTACAACAAAGGTGTCACTGCATATTCGTTACAGTTTTTTACCTTTAGCTGTGTCGCATGCGAAACTAAATCAGAGAAATGTGTATTTTACAAGCTTTTTCATCACAAAGCAAACGAAAAAGGCAGTCAACGAAAAGTTGTTGATTACCAGACACATTTCGCTGGCTTAATTAGTGCATCCAGCTTGTACTGCCTTTTAATATTTTTTACACCTCTGTTATCTTACGTTTTTTTTTCTTTTTTGTGAAATGTTGTAGCCGAAAGCATTCAAGCGAAAATAGTTTGCATTCCAGTAAGTGTATAAAATGTACGTAGCATATATATAAAATGTGCAGAGATGAAATTTAAGTTGAATCTGTGCACATGCTAAATGTTATAAAGTATTTTGGCTTATAGCTTAAATAATGAGACGTCGAGAAATGTCAAACTTTTATATATTAATTAACCTGCAGTAAAGGGTACTCTAATTAATTGAACAAGAATATAACACCTGAGTTTTAGTTATAGCGTATACTAAAAAACTACATTAGCCAAGTGTAAACAGGGAGGTTAATAAAAATGAAATACAACTTTTTAGCCAACACATCATGTAAATACAATACTTATAGTTAAAGCTTGAAAAACGTAAACCTAACCCAAACCCGTGATAATTACACAGTGGGGCGTTGCGTAAGAATATGTTTCTCTTTGTGGGAAACGTAAGTAAAATTAAGTTTAGCCTGAGTTTGGTACAATAAAAGGAGGTTAAATGGTAGAGAAGAGAAAGCTCTTGAAATCCCTATACCTTACCCAAACTCTTGAGAATCGCATAGAAAGACGATGGTGTGTAACGCAACGAAAAATGTACTTCGTCTGCTTTTTCTACAAAAAAACAAGTATGTTATGTACATTCCACTAATTTTCTACCCAAAGAATGCAAACAAAAAAGTTGTATAGAACCGCTTGAAACTTATTTTGCACATTTGCCAGTTGAACTTTTCATTCAAAAACAGAACAAAAATACAGATAGCTAATGTTGATCAAAACTCAGACAGCACAAACAGTTTTGCTGTATATATAAAAAGATTGAAGTTTCAACTTTTATTTAAAATGTTCCTTTGCTTAATCCGACACTGAATATTATTACATTTCTTTATTCTCTCGCTTTTCATTATTTTATATCCAATGTAATTTGCGGCAATTGTCAACAGGATTTATATTCTAAGACTTAAGACCAGACAACATGGCAACGTGAAGGGCTCAGGCTTAATCTATGTCACAAACAACTCGCAGAACATGACAGCCTTGCATTTTTTCATATTTTGTAGCTGTTTAGTCAATCAGCCACAAGTATTCCGATATTAAAGGAAAGAAAGAAGCTGTCAACTATTTAATGAATAAATTTTTGTTTTTAATATTTAAACCCCGGATACCAGGACAACCGAAGAGATCGCCTGCATTGCCGCTGTGGCGGCCACACGCTGGTAAACTATTTTCATTTTTATAAGATTTTATCTTATTTAATTTAAGCATAGTTTTGTCTCTCCTGCTCTTTGACCCCGCTCGGCCTGACAGCCACCTCTTGGCCCATCCCTTGCGGCTGCAGTCGACTGTCGTCGACATCTTTGCGCCACTTTGTCCTTTGCGCTGCGAACAATTTAAAGCGAAAGTTACCAAAGTATTAAAACTTTTCTAGTTACTTGTTAGTTAAATAATAATGCGTAAAACGAACCCCTAGCCCTTGCCCTTATCCTTTCAACTTGCTCCTGCACACACGGCAACAAAAATGCAGCGGCAAATGCAATTTAATTGAAGCCAATCCTGCACATGTAAGAAAAGGTGGAAATGGCTTATATGACATCTGAAGAAGACGTGAAGTCATTTAAAAAAAAACTACAATTTAGAAGGCGTGATTCTATTATTTAAGCTGTCGGAGTTATAGATTTCTACGGTGTATGCACCCCAAGAAGATGTCAGCAGGAAAAATGAGAGCTTTGCCTGATGCAGATATTATTATTCTCTTATTAACGTTTATTTAATTTGATTCCAACATCTGTTTGTTTTCCCTTATTTAACTAAAAACTTCATTTAAAAAAAGTCCATTTTTGTTTAAATTAAAATATATATCTACATATTTGTTATCCCACCTCACGCATTAACTCCTTCACTTAGATGGCATGCGGTTGATTTTAATAAATTTCTCGAGGCATTCAGCGCCCGGATATAAATGCAAAGTAAAGATAAAGCTAAGTAAATTTATTTAAACAATTTTCACCCATTTGGAGCATTTATGTTGAGTTTTGTAAACGCTTTACACAATCGGGACCAATGTCCAGCGGCGACAAAATGGCGCCAGCTTCGCATCCGGCAAGCAAACAAAGCCAAAGTTCTACGAGGAGGCGACAGCCGACCCTTGTTCTTCATGTGCATTTGTGTGTGTGTATGTGTGTGTGCGTGTGTGTGCGTGTGTGATTCTGCTGGGCTTTCTATTAGACAAACACACACACACACACACATACACACACGCACGCATATGCAGACATATGTGAAACCTTCTGTCTGACTCTCTGTCTGGGCCTCTCTTGGGCTTTATTTGACTTTGGTAAAAGCCCCGCGGCCACAGACTGACGCCATGGCACGTGTCCTGATTATATGTGCCAGTTTTTTTTCTATCTTATTTTTCTTGTCGCTTTTTGCTCTTGTATTTGTGCTTTGTATCATCTTATTTGTACAACTTTTTAAGTCCTCCATGCATGTTTTTTCTTCACATTTATGAGTTAGGCTTGTTAATATGCGCAGGACCACAGACCTGCTTTAAAATGCATCAGTGATTTATGCCAAGTCAAGAAAATAGGTCAAGATTTCTTTTAGTTTGGTCTTTTTCTTTGTCAGAATAAATTATGTCCTCAAAGTTTTTATTAAAATAGGAAATGATGTTATCATATAGAGCCAGAAGTTTTTTTTAATATGCAAGCAAAACCAAATCTTCTTTATATCAATATAACAAGCTGTATTGATGCCAGCTTGGACTTGGGATATTGCAAACTGGGGTTGAGTTGCCTCAAAGCACAATTCTATTAAGGATGATGACTGTTCCAAGGTTATTTGGAAATTGTACTCCTTAATGTAGTCTGGTTGTGTCTTGAGTTTGTGACAGACGCTCGAGTCACCATAACGACCGACTGCGAATCCTAGCCAACTTGACCAGCGAAAATGTTTACACCCTAGTAAGCTGTGAGGTACTGATAGACGATTTTAAGGGTGTCTATTCCACGACGACTTAAACATTCATCTTTTTCTGACCTCTTTAAGCCGCAAAGTATTGTGTAAATAGATTAGGGTCTCTTAAATGTCCCAGCCATAGATTAACAACAATTATATACTGTAAAAATATGAACATAACAATAACAAAAGTAATAATTATAATAATAACAATAACAACAATCATAATACTAATATATACATTTCGATCTGAAAGGATGAGAGGAAAGTAATGATAACATTTTCAATAATATTGATCGTAACAAACACAGTAACAATAATAAAACTAATTATAACAATATTAAAAAAAAAATGATAATAATAATATTAGAAATGATAACAATAAGATGAAGAATAATACAATTAGAAATAATAAAAATAAAATTTATGACAAGATTGACATAAAATTATTATTAATACGAATAATTATGAAAATTCGAACAATAATAAAAGTTCCAATTCTAGTTATTATAATAATCTTCCATAATTTTACAAAAATTTATAAAAGTAGAAATACGAACAATATTTAAAGATATTTGATTAAAGACTTAGATAGGTTTAGCTTATCGCAAACGCATCTAGCCATAATGGTTGCACAACCAAAGCGCAATTAGCCAACTATTTTAGTGGCCCGCACGCAACATTAAACACCGCTTGATTGCATTTCAATTAAAGTTGCATTACGCAGTATAAATTCAAACAATCGCCAGGTAAAACAAATTGCCAGCCATTTTGTGAGAAGCTCGTGGGGTACCGTAACAATGTCGTTATTTATATGGCACAACACGGGCTTACACAACAGCCAAATACCAGCAGTGAGGGAGAGAGAGGGAGAGAGAGAGCGAGGGGCAGAGAGAAAGAGAGAGAAGAGATGCCATAGGCTGGATAAGCCGCAAACAATTTGCAATGTGAGCCGACGGCGGCGGTAAATGTTCAAAACTAAATAGAAATGTGCAGGATATGTGACAATTTGCATTTTTATACAAACTATTTTGAGCTCAATTATGGGGCCCACCTGCCAGCCAGGTAAAAGCCATTTCCATCTAGCCCCCTCTCTCTCTCCATCCCTTTCTCTGCAAAACTCTTTGGAGAGGCCTAATGCAGTTGCATTGGGCTTCATCAGCGCAACGGCTGGGAGGCAGGCATGCAAGAAACTCATTTTGTTTTGCTATAAAACACGCGCGGCTGCTCATGCGATGCTTTCAAAGAGTTGGGCGTGGCCACCCCCAGCAAATGCATAGACATTACATTGCTTCACATATTACATATCCATATTTTATATACACAATATATATGTATATATATATATATATATATATTTGATGCCTGGGAATTTATGCATTAGTCGCAAGCTGCCTGCCACGCCTCCAGCTGCGCCTGCAGGTGAGCAGATCCTTAGACCTAGCTTTGGGGCCATCAGACATGTAAATTAACATAAGCAGCACGCGTTGAGCTTCAAGTGGCGCAGCCTGCAACGTCTTTTAGCTAAGACTCTTTCAGGCTCTTTGAGGCTGCTCAAAATGCGCTTATGGCTGCAGGCTAAGCTCCCTGAAATTATGCAATTTTTCCTACACTCCGTGTGGGCGCGTGTGCGTATGCGTTGCTTTTTCTTGCGAATAATTTAGAAAACACGTTTAAATTATGCTAAACTATGCGCATATGTTAAAGCTTGTGTTTTGTGGCGGGCAAAGATTAGAGATAGACTATTAGATAAAAAAAAGAAGATAATAGCATTTGGCAGTGCGGATTGAATGAATCCCGAGAGCAATCAAAATTAGAAACTTAAATTAAACGAAAATCTCTTTATTTTTTCGTTAAGCAGAGCGTTTTTTAAAGCTTCAAGCAAAACTATTTGCATCTAATTATAGTTGAAATACATTTTGCCTCTTTAGTATGTTTTATATTTGATTGTATTTTATACTTCGTATCCGAAAAACTTGAAATATTTTCTGGATATCTTCGGAGACTTTCCTCTGGCCACTAAATAATATAATGGTGAATGTTTATAAGATTTTGCATATACATATATGAGAATCATAGTGTAACTTATAAATCTTGAGTTTGATCGGTATCAATAAAAAAAATATAAACAAAAAGAAGATTATTATAATTTAAAAATGTTACACACATAAAAGTTGAGCTTAAACTAAAAAAATATCGTACACAGTTGAAATTGTGATTAAATCTTGTTTTAACACTGTTAACATGCATATTTATATACTTTGAGTATTCAGCACATAGGATAACTTCAAATACATGTATGTGTCTCTTTCAAATAGTCCCCTGGCTATTACCAGCTATCAATTTGTTAATCCACCTGCTCACTTGCCGCTCAGCCGGTCTGAACACTCGGGAAGAAAGAGAGCATCAACCACAGCCCCATGTTAATTAATGGCCACTGCCGTGAAAATGTAGAGTGCAAACGCAAACGGTACAAAATCCACAGTTTATGGCCAATAATAAGCACTGTAAACAGGGAACAAAAAATGAAACGCTACAAGTTAAGCTTGAAAAACAAGCAAAGATGATGTCCATAGGAGAAAAAAAACGGGCAACTGCCTTTAAGCTGATCGAACGCTTTAAAAAACGCGCTGCTCTGGCCAGTATTTATGCACTTGCTGTTGATGCTGCTGCTGCTGCTGCAGCTTAAATATTTTTAATTGCATTTCACGTAATCACCCGACACCTACGCAAGCCCCGCAGCAAGGACATCAGCGGGAAACGGTCCCGAACAGAGCCCGGCTGAAAGCAGAGCACATTTTTCCAATAGTTAATGGCAATTTGCTGTTTTGCTATTTACGCCAATTATCCTGCATTTACAGCAACAACAGAAGCCGGCAAAAGCGCCAACATGAAAGCCAATGCAAGTCAACAAAAGCAGCAACAACAACAACAACAACTTGGCCAACCAGCCATGGTAAAGTGCAAGTCGCGCGCATTGCTGCGGCTGCATTGTGTGAATGAGAGTGTGTGTTTGAGTGTGCGTGTGTGCGTAAGTGTGTGGAAGTGTGCGCCGTGCAAACACATCATAATTGAAGCCTTCAACAAGTTTCACGTACAATTACAAACACCTAGCAGGTGCAAAGCACAGCGCTAAAGACCCAGACTTGAACGACTAGTTGGCTGGGCACATGCCCAACCTGGTCAGCCGGGCAGAGGAGCTGCACTGTGCGAGAGATTGGCCTTTGTCATAGCATGGAGATTGCGGCCAATTTTGTTCAACTAATACACAAGAGCAAAGTCGCATTAAATTCCAGACGAATAGCGCAGATATGCAAACAGTGAAGCTCGATTATAATGAATAAATCGGGCTAAATGTGTAAAGCCTGTTGATAATATGTTATTATTTGAATGTATTTAATGCCCATGAAATTGAAGTTTTGTGTCTAACCAGAAAAGGTTGCTAACCTCTAAATGAGCTGGCCTCTATTAAAGCAAGTTGAATTGCTTCTTTCTCTGGGCAGGCTGTCCGCAAAAGCCGTTTAGTTTGTGGCTTACGCTTGAAGGCCATAACTCAATGGTGGTTTAAACAGCCAGAGGGGCGTCGGGTCTAAGCTCTATTAGCATTGTATGCCATATATCAAGCATTCGCACTGTGTGCTCAACTATTTGGCTTAG